AAAGCGGTATTCCGACACCCCCCCCCCCCCCCGTCGTTTCATAATCCTGCCGCACCTGTTTAACCCAGAGGGAGGGAGCAAGGGAACAAAAGCAAATGAACGCACACCGCCAAGGGAAAACGCAGCCTCTTTGGGGCTAAGTTCTCTCTCTCTCCCGCCCCCCCCCCCGGGACACCTAAGGCTCGGGTTAATTCGGCAGAAAAAGTTAAGATGGTGAAGGAAACGTACTTACCCTCTTTTCTCCTGGTCGCCCTCGCCGGACAAAAGTGAAAGTAGAAGTAAGACGACCGCTGCCGCTCCCTCCCCGCCAGATGTGCGGCGCCAGCGGTAAGACCGTCCGTCCTTTCCCAACAGCCAGAAGAGGCCAGCTTTCTAGGAAAGGTGCTCTAGAGCCGTCCTTCCTCCCCCCCACCACAAGGGGGCAGGATCCTCCAGATGTGCCGGACTACAGCTCTCATTCACAGCAGTTTAGCTTGGCTGGGGATAATGGACACTGTAGTCCATTATGTTATAGTAAAAGGTAAAGGTAAAGGTTCCCCTTGACAATTTTTCTCAAGTCGTGTTCGACTCTAGGGGGCGGTGCTCATCCCCGTTTCCAAGCCATAGAGCCAGCGTTATTGTCCGAAGACAATCTTCCGTGGTCACATGGCCAGTGCGACTTAGACACGGAACACTGTTACCTTCCCACCAAGGTGGTCCCTATTTATCTACTCGCATTTGCATGCTTTCCAACCGCTAGGTTGGCGGGAGCTGGGACAAGCGACGGATGCTCACTCCATCGCGTGGATTCGATCTTACGACTGCTTGGTCTTCTGACCCTGCAGCACAGGCTTCTGTGGTTTAGCCCACAGCGCCACCACATCCCTAATATTATGTTATAGCGTGCTGTCTAATTTGGAGTGGGGTAGATTGCTCTGGCTGAATACGGAAAATCGTGGCAACCCTTCCCATAGGATGGTATATGGGAACGTCTCTATTATTCTTGTTTACTAACCTACCCTGCTGCGTTCTTTTTTAAACTGCATTATTTGCTGACTTCAATGGTTTTAACGTGTTTACTTGATTTTAATGGTTTTACAACTGGCTTACCTGACTACATTATTATTTTTATTTTGCTAAATGTGATTTTAACAGTTTTTATTTTTTAAAAAGTCTGTCAGGGATACTGAGCACTAATATTCTTGTTTACTAACCTGCCCTGCTGCGTTCTTTTTTAAACTGCATTATTTGCTGACTTCAATGGTTTTAACGTGTTTACTTGATTTTAATGGTTTTACAGCTGGCTTACCTGACTACATTATTATTTTTATTTTGCTAAATGTGATTTTAACAGTTATTTTTAAAAAAGTCTGTCAGGGATACTGAGCACTAAAGTTGGGTGTAAATGTAATAATAACTAGATACATACAATAGGACCGCATTCCGTGGATGTTGAAAAACATGGAAACAATCCATATACATTGGTCTGTGGCTCCCTCTACTGGCCCGTTCTGATGAATACACCTATTCATACACATTTCTGTGGGCTTTTTATTAACTATTTTCAGGCAGCGGACAGATGAATCAACAGATAGCGATCCTGTGGATAGCGGGGTCCTAGTCTCTTTCGGAACTTTTTATCAGGCTAGTTTTGTATTTATTCAAGCACAAGTATTTTGTTTGCATTTTGCAGAAGAAAAACATTAGGTGCAAAGACTTTGCTATACCTTCCATTGCATATCACAGAATAACATTGTCAACTGATTATGAAAGATACTTTAATTTGGCCTCTCTTCAGCACCAGCTTGATCTGCAGGCAGAGGTCAACCGGCATATTCTCATGCCTTGGATTTATTCAATTCACATGCAAATTGTTTTGTGATCTCTTGCTTTGCCAGTAATCGCTGCAGGAAGACTGAGGTATGCCCACACATGGAGCATGAATCCACCCAATAACAATTTATTCTACTGATTTGAATGGGAGCAATTTAAAGCTTGGGCATACCTCTGCCATTGGAATCAGTCACAGTGCGAAAGTGTCTTGAAGGTAGGTACATTCTCCATTGCAAATGTGTGCTCAGGGGCCTCTGCTAATTTGCTACAACCTGCTGGCTCAGTAAACATTTCACTGCAGAACCAGATCTTAACCTACAGGCAACCTAGTACCCCTGAGAAATGTTGGATTACTTTCAGTGCCAATCAGCACAACCAGTGGCCTGGAACAAACAAACCTTGGCCCAACAATTCTGGGAGACACCAGGTTGTTTAATATTAAAGCAATCCTATTTAGAGGATCATACACTTTCCCAAGTGACCGCACCCTTGGCATGTGAGGTCACAGGACCATTTAATATGACCAGTCAAGTTGCCTTTGACTCTTCTCTGTCAATTCTAGCTGGAAACTGAGGATGAGCTAGAAGGATAGTTCTTTCATTCCCTTCTCCATGATGGTGTTCAGATATCTGGGGCACTTTGGTTCAAATGCTCTCCTTCCCAAGGTGAGTGGTGTTGCAAATGTAGGAAGAAAGACAAGTGCAACCCCATTTTGCCCCTTATCCATTTAGAATGACATTCTCAGTCTTCTTATAGTTCAAATACAAATCCAGCTGCTGGATTTGGTGATCCTTATACAGGAAAGGTACATTGAATAGGACTCCTTAACTGAATCCTAAAAGAGGTTGTGTTTCATTCATAGGATCGCCATACAGTGGTGCCACGCATTACGACGTTAATCCGTTCCAGCGAAATCGCTGTAGAACGAAAATGTCGTAATGCGAAATAAAAAAGCCCATAGAAACGCATTAAAACCCAATTAATGCATTCCTATGGGCTTGAAACTCACCGTCCAGCGAAGATCATAGCACAGCCATTTTTGCTGCCCGTGCAGCGAGGAATCCGTCCCAGAAAAGAGCGGGGAGCCATTTTTTTTACCTGGCGGCCATTTTGAAACCGCC